TAAGTTGGCACCGAATAATTAGGCATCTTCATGGATGTATATGGGGGACTTAATTAAGAACTATCAGAGGGTGTTTGGAGTTCTTGAACGTGGGAGTAAACGTATATATCGGTTGCAGAGTAGGGGTGAGCACGGTTCGGTTCAAACCGAAAAAACCGACCGAACCGACCCGAAAAAAGCGGTTTTATGAGTAAGGCGGTTCGGGTCGGGTCGACAATTTTTCAAACCGACCCGACCCGAACCAACCGAATATATTCCCCTGCCTCAAACCCTACCCGTTTACCCAAAGACAAAGCAAGTCCGTTACTAAAAAATTACAACATCATGTCTAGTATTTAATCCAAAAGAACAAGTTACTTTACTTAAAAACAGTATACATATATGAGCAAGAATAATAATTGAAGTGAAGTTAAAAAATAAATACATGCTGGCATAGGGTAATAAGAATATATAAAAGATAAATTAAAGTGAAGTTATACTTGATGAAGTTAGAACCGAACAAACCGAACCGAACCGCACCGAACCGATTTGCAATGGATCGGTTCGGTTTTGAATTGTAGGTGGTTCGGTTCGGTTGTTCAAATTTTGGTAAAAACCGACCCGAACCGAACCGCGCTCACCCCTATTGCAGAGTACAAATTTCATTGAACACCCGCATATGAGTATGGTATTTTGAGCCGTTCGCAACAAGGTATAACGTTAGTTTGGAGATTTCATCTAATCCAGTAGCGGATCTAGAAAATTTATCTTGAAGGGCCGGACAAAAAAATATCTATTTATATGAAAATAAAAAATAGTATAAAAGCATAACATATAAGGGAAATGCAATTTACTACACTTTATCAGCTCGATGCATAACATATATCGGTTGCAGAGTACAACTTTCATTGAACGCCCGCATATGAGTATGGTATTTTAAGCCGTTCGCAACAAGGTATAACGTTAGTTTGGAGATTTCATCTAATCCAGTAGCGGATCTAGAAAATTTATCTTGAAGGGCCGGACAAAAAAAATATCTATTTATATGAAAATAAAAAATAGTATAAAAGCATAACATATAAGGGAAATGCAATTTACTACACTTTATCAGCTCGATGCATCATATTTTGCATATAGTTAAACAAAATTGAAGATTTTCATAAATAATATACTTAATTAGGCTATATTCAAGTGAGTTGCCAATTGTTTAATGATTTATAAATAAGCACTGAGAGTGCAAATGTACTAAAACTAGGCGGAACAGATTGCAAGTAGAGAAGAAATCAAATTAAATGCAATTTCCAAATCCCCCCCGGCCGGGCCATCCTATAACATACATCCACCCTTTACCCACTACGTTTCATAATACATTGTTTCACATGCATAATGTGTTGATGAGATTTACATCCTCTGGGTAATGTGGTGAATCCAAAAATATTGTTAAGTATAGAAAAAGTCTTATTATGTTTTTTCTCTCTTATATGTATGTCTATTGTATTGGAAAACAAACAATAATTTCTTCTACCAACATGGGTCACGACAACATTATCATCTCGACATAGTTTGGACTTCAAAGATGTAGGGCCTAAATGAATATGGGCCTGCAAAAACTAATTGCGTTTAGTCCAAGTTATTTATGATTCGAGTAGCCAGATTGTGTTGGGGAATGGTGAAGGGACCGTATTGTTAAGGTCGATGCTTTACACTTGGTTTGGTTGGCAGTTTGAGGAGGAAAGGCAAGGTACAGTACGGTGGAGCGATGGGCATTTTTTAAGCATTTATAGTTGATTGGATGGAAGCCAACGAGAGACACGTGCTTTTATATTTTACTAGTATAATACACGTGAACATACATGTTTTAGTTTTGATTTTTTTAATGAATTAATAGTACAACTATGTATTAATAAATAAAATGTATAATAATATTGCTTAAAAAATATATGAATTAATTATTATTATATAGTTATTATAATTTTTTTTCTTATAATGGTTCGCCCAGTACTAACCTTTTTTATATAAGTCCCACAAATCTAAAATTGTTCTTAAAAAAAATTTGCAATGCTATAAGTTCTCTTAAATATGCCCCTCAATCTTGAAAGTTGTTAACTTAACTCTAAATTAACTAAGATGCAGTAATCTTGCTAGCTTTTTCCTGATATTCCCTAGATAGTTATACTTAATACCTGCAACATATTGTAATAGTTACTTCTTATTATAATTGTTTAATAGGGTAAATTACACCGAACTCTTATGAACTTTCAGCCCCTATGGCTATGAACCTTCAAAATCACATTAAACCCCTAATGACTTTTCTGTGTCGAAGAAAACCTCCAATACTTTCTAAATTTTTGCAAATAAACCCTATAAATTAGAACCGAAAATAGCATAAAATGCTTTTTAAAAGTTATTAGGGGATTGATGTAATTTATCTAAAATATATTGGAGGTTTTCTACAAAAGTTAGTATGGGTCTAGTGATTTTAGAATTTCATGGGGGTTTACTGTAATTTATCTTATTTAATATTTTTTATTATGCTCTTAAAAGTTTAGTATTATAAATATTTTATAAGTTTTTATTATACTATCATTAACAATTGATAATACTATTATTAATATTAAATAATTTTTTATAAAAAGGTTTGTTTTCAATCATTACCATGTATAGATTATTCAGCATCATGTAATAATCTTTGAGAAACAACTCTAAAAATAATATTAAATTATTTATTTACTAATATAATATAAATAAATAGTGTAATTCATAATTTATGTGATGTTATTAGAATAATTACACTATTTATATGATTAGATATTTATTCTATTTATTTTATTGCTCATTGAATTATAGTATAATTCTTAATAGTATTTAGTAATATATTATTCTATTTATACTATTATTTTTATTATAATTCATAAGTAATTATTATAATAATTTAATTGCTTACTACTAATAATTATATACATATTTTGTTATATTATTTTAAATAATTAATAGTTATAATTTTATTTATAATTATAATTATTTAGGAAGGTGAGTATGTGCATAATTAATAAGAGGTTATATTTATTTAATGAAAGATTAATTACAAATAATGACATAGTCAGAGCTTATCAAAATTTAAAAGGGTAAAATAAATTTAAAAGTTTTAACACCCAATCCTCTTTTTAAAATAGTAGTATACTTATATATGTATATTATAGAATTATAGTTATATAAGTATATATAAGTGCATAAGTGTAATAATATATAAGTATATTGCATCTAGTATATATAAAAGTATATCATATATGTAAATTGTATAACTGTACTTAAATAAGCATAATGTAAGTATGTAACAAATACATATATAACTATATAATACATATTTATAAATAAGTAATATATACTTATGTGATTCTCTCTCTCTCTCTCTCAAGTTATAACTTATAAGTATATACAATATATTTACATATAGTATATGTCTATATAATATGTAGTATATATATAATTTGTAAGTATATACTAATACATACTTATATAAATATAATAAGATTAATTTATTTTTAGCAATTATTTACCAAAAAAATAAAAAATAAAAATGACCGGGTCGGCCCGGTTATTTTCATATGTAGAGATTTTTAGTTAATTGTTAAATTATGGTTTTTTTTCATATGTGTTTGTAGAGCTTTTTAGTTAATTGTTAAATTATGTTTTTTCATATGATTAACTGATTATTAATAAAGAAGTTATTTTTATCATTTTAATTTCTATGCTTTTTTATATTTATAAATTATATAATTACAAGTGATTAATAATATGATTGTTTTTATCAAATTTTGTTTAATTTTTTGATATGTATTCTTGAAAATAAAAAAATTTAAAAAAAATAAAAAATAAAAAACCGGGCCGGCCCTCTCAGGCCTAGGCCTCGGTTTTGCTTGGCCCGGGCCTGATATTTCAGGTCAGACTGGCTCATTTGGACAAGCCTATATAGACATAGATTTTCTCTGCTTTTGAATCCTCCCAATTTGGAGGAATTACTCTCTCTCTCTAACTTTTTAATTTATTTTGTGTTGTCCATCCCTCCTCTCCCCTCGCTCTATCTCCCTCTCTAAAAGCTATCTACCAAGGCAAATCTATATTTTGTCCCTCCCGGCCTCTCACTTTCCCTCCTACCAAACAAAGCATTAAAAGTGTTGGGGTTGAGTCCATGGTTTCATGGTCCGTTTCACATCCGAATCTAAGTCATGAGAGCTCACCTGAAACTAATCGCCAGTTTACCTATAGATAGTTTTGCACATAGGAAGAAAATCCACACCCAAGATAAAGTACTTCGAAATATTTAATTGTTCTACAATCTGCATTGTGCAAAGCTGTGAGGTTTGGAGTTCTGCTGTTGTTGTTATGGAAACTTGTGGATCTGGACAAAATAATTAAAGATGTTGAATATCATGGTCTCAAATTTTGTTCCATATCAGAGCTCATCATTGTGTGCAGCGTGGTGCACTCAGTATTAAATTACATTAAATCAATTAATCTAAAATCAAAAATACTTCACCAGTTCAATTTACATGAGATCTTTGATAACTATAAAAGTTTTTTAATCCTTGATTTGAGTTCTCTAGGAATCGTGCTCCATCGTCATGTTCTCCATCAAATCACCAACTAAACTATGATATTTACAGTTGAAAGTTTTAAACAATTGTTCCTTGCACGACTCCTGAATATTCCCAAGTCGTTAGTATATATGTAGTACGAAGCTGCAGGCACGTTCCCTTGTCTCGCAGATCCCCATTCGACCAAAAATTCCCTGATTATCCCCAAACTTGGCCCGTGCACAAACCTCACTTCAATTGGGGCAATCCATTGGGGGATATTATTATATTCAGTCCAATCCAATCATCACTTCAGCAGACATCTAGATTATTGAATTAATCCAACTAAGATAACGTGAGTACCATGACATATCCAATAAGTCAAAGTCAAGCTATATGTACGCCCCACAGGACAATCTTAATCAAGAACAAGATTGGAGCACAATTTGGCAATGGCTTCTTCTTCTTCTTTTTCTTCTTCTTGGGCCCTTGCTCTCTTGCTTTTGACAATGGCAATGGTTAGGGTTGACGCGAGGATGAGTCCGAGCGGTTGGTCATTAGCCCATGCGACCTTCTATGGCGATGAGTCGGCATCTGATACCATGGGTATGTACTCAAGCTACACATGTATTACCTAGGCCCTTGTAATATTGAAGCTAGTTAATCAAATTAAGGGTATGTTAGGCAACTCTCCTTGAACCAAGTTTGATAAAAAAATAAAAACAAGCATAAAAATTAAAGAAGGCCGCCAGCATCATTCAAACTTAGGTATAGAACTAAATTGGTGTAAGTGAAAAAAGTTTAGTAGGATGAGATTTGCCAAACTAACTTGAAGTGTCATGCTTTTTAATTCTCTTGTAATATATTTAGGCGGAGCTTGTGGCTATGGCAACCTATTCAACAGTGGATACGGCACAAATACTGTGGCATTGAGCACAACACTGTTCAGTAACGGGTATGCATGCGGATCTTGTTACCAAATAAGGTGTTTCGGATCTCCCCATTGCTACCGAGGTTACCCGTTTGCCACCGTGACCGCTACAAACCTTTGCCCGCCAAATTGGTCGGAGGACTCCAACAATGGTGGGTGGTGCAACCCTCCGAGGACCCATTTTGATATGTCCAAACCCGCTTTTATGAAGATTGCGGATTGGAAAGCGGGCATTGTACCTGTTATGTATCGTAGGTAAGAACAAGTTTTTATAATAAAAAAAATTCTCAATTTCATCATAATGTTATAAATAAATTAATTAATAAATACTTGAAGGGTTTACATAAGAATATTATGAATGCATGGTTTCAGTTAAAGAAAAACATCATAAACTTTCAAATTAGCCAAGAAATGCATATTTAATAAAACAAATTTGCGCATAAATTTAATGACATGAGGTTTTTTTTTAATTAATGTTTCTCTCAAATACCTTGAATTTTTGTATGACTTCGTTAAACTATCTTGGACTTTAACTTTAAGGTATTATATATCATAGAACTACATGTGGGTATCTGATAACATTTGATATTTCTACTGATTTGAAAGGGTGAGGTATTTTCTTGAAAACGTAGTCATGATAGTTTAATGCAAAAATCGTAATAGTTTTGATAATTTTGTGAAATTTACTCCTCGTTTTCGTGTCAATTTTATCCGATTCTGTCTTATAACTAGTGTAAATTAATAAATTATTAGTCCATAACCTAATAAAGAGTTTAATTTGTGTAGGGTACCATGCATCAAGAACGGAGGAGTTAGGTTTAGTTTCCAAGGGAATGGATATTGGTTGCTTGTGTATGTGACGAATGTGGGAGGAGGAGGAGACATCGGGAGTATGTGGGTCAAAGGAAGCAAGACCGGTTGGATAAGCATGAGCCATAATTGGGGTGCAACTTATCAAGCTTTTGCTACATTGGGAGGTCAATCTCTCTCTTTTAAGATCACCTCTTACACTACAAGGGAGACTATTATTTCTTGGGATGTTGCTCCTTCCAATTGGAATGCAGGCTTGACTTACCAAGCATCTACAAACTTTGCTTGAGAAATTGTGTTTTTTTTTAACGTATACCTTCGTTTTCCTAGCTCTTTCTTTACTTTGTTAAAAGATCTCATTTGTAAAGTTCAAGGAAATTGGAGCCTCCTTTTCTCCTTGAAAGATATAAGTTAAAGTTGTCAACATTTGGGATGTGAGTCGCGACAATGATAATCAGTTTTTCAGTTTCGCACAAGGTATCTCCACACCTTATTATAGATGAGACTAATTCTTACTCACGCTTTGTGGTTGGCGTTGGCCCAAATATTTTTTTTTACCTGTTGGGGGATTCGAACATGGGACTAGCCTGCTATGGATCGTCTCCCAACAGGAGCACATCGACAATGATAATCATGAAAATGAGATAAAATGGTAAGTACCTACCTCCTTTTGTTCCGCGATAAGGGTTTACCAAATGGATCGATTCAGATTATTTTCACTAAAAAAACAGCTGAGAGACCACTACTTTATCACAACCGTTAATTTATTTAATAGTTGATTGTGATTTCCTTTTTAAGTGCAAATTAGGAAATGAGTGAAAATCATGGGGGCCATGGTGAGTGTTAAATTTTTAATGAATTATAAACCATCTACTAAACAAATCTATAATTAATGTAATGATCTCTCAATTATTATTATTATTATTATCACTTAGTTGAGAAGATCATGATTACTAAGGGGCTGTTTGGTTCTTTTTTTTTGGGTGGTAAAAGTGGGGAAAGCTGCCAAAAATGTCAGCTTTTTGACAGCTTTCCCCCAAAATCACCCCTTAAAAAGGTGATTTTGAGGGAAAGCTGTCAAAAAGCTGACATTTTTGACAGCTTTCTCATCTTTTACCACAAAAAAAAACCTATCCAAATAGCCCCTAAGGAAACAATCTAAAAGACCCTATGTATTTTGCATTTATTTCATTGTTATTGCGTCAAAACTCTGAACTTTCCCGAGAATTGAATGATGCTATTTATATTATATACTTTTTCGTTTATTATTGTTTTAATAAAATTTAAATTATTCACTTGAGAGCTTCCATTTGGTTTAGGCCACCCCCAACGTGATGGAACCTTGGGCCTACCCATCCGTAACAGTTCTGGGTCATTCTTGGCCTTTTTGGGCCGCAGCCGTGTATTACCCTTGGCTGCTTGGTCCAGCTATGGGCTGCTTAGATATTTTTAAGGAAAAAAAATTAGATGAGGCAAATCTGATATTGATTATAATAATGTCGGATCGCGACTAAGTCCAGATAAAATTACCCTCCATAAAAATTACTAGGGTTGGGTTCTGATGAGAATCAAATTTGTTCTTTCCAATTTATCTGAGAGTATGATGATTAAATGATTTAGAGGAGGAATAGCATCATTCTTAAGAATGTGGGATACTTGGGAGAGTATGCTGTGATCAAAGTTTCAGATTTAACTCCCATGATCAACGTATTTGAATCCTCTTTGCTGTGAAAGCGTATTGGATAGATTATTACTAAATCATCATTTCTCTATTTGTTTATTACACAGTTGTGATTATTCTAGAGTGAAAATAAAAATGAATACAATTTTCTGAGAATATGGTAAGTGATAAATTTAGAATAGATGATAATTGTTCATGGATCATAGACACTTATGTGTAAAAGGAGAAGAAAAGGTAGTAACCCCTTCCCCATTTTCGTGATGATCAGAGCTTATTTATGGTACAGAACTCTGGTACTAATTAATTAACTACATATGAAAAGTGGTTATGTATTTTTCAAAAAAAGAAAAAAAAAGAAAAGAAAAGTGGTTATGTATATGGATAAGTGTTCATAAGGTGGCACCTTAGATTCAATCTAATGTAGCACCTCTTGATTCATGAATTAGGCTATTCTAATTGATGACCCGCTCCTTTCATCATGATCTCAATGTCTCAAAATGTCTATAAAATAAAAATCATGATGATTAAATACTTCTAACACGTACATATGTTTCACTATCTCTTTAGTTATATTGTCGTAATCGTTAATTTTACAATCACTTGATGCACGAGTAATTACAACTCAATATGCCTAATTTTTTGTTAGTATATAATTTAGAACATATAAATCAAAATGAACGGAGTGGACTGAGTAATTTGATAGCATATAATGTAGTTTTAAGATGCTACCTTAGATTGAATTTGGAGATAATGATCACCTTGATCAATTTCAGGTGTTAGGTTACCTTTGATTTGTTCAACAAAAAAAATAATAACTTTTACCACTGGGCTATATTGTATTTTTATTACTAAAATACATGCTATAATATAAGTGCAGTGTGAAACTTAGCTCAGGTTTTTAGAAAACTTTTTCAAAAACTTTAACAATTAATGAGCTCAAAAACATATTGATAATTAAATGCCCATTTCTGCATATTAATTAGTTATCTAACTCATATATAGCTAACTTATCGCTCATCTAATCCTGTCTATGACATCACATAACAATCAAATGCAACAAAATAACTTTATTAATTAATTGCTAATGCAAGCAAGTAGCTTATAGTTAAAGTGGCTAATATGCACACGCAACTATATATTTCAATAAAGGGAGAAACCAAAAGGATGACTTGCAAGTGGGGGGAAAGTCCAAATAAAAGGGTGTGGTCCAAAAGAAGGAAGCATGTAGCCATGGAAAGAATAACCTCAAACATTATAATGTCTAATTTAGGAAAAGGGAAAGGGATTCTTGTGGAGGTTGGAGAAAGAGACACATCAAGAGAGAACCTAAACCTAACTCTTTAAAGATTACCATAAAATGAGGAGGAAAATGGTATTATAATTATGTTGCCTAACCCATTATAGCCTTATAGGCTACTAGAAATATTCAGGTAAATCACAATAAAATAAAATATTTAGCTCGTTTGGTCCCCCATCACTTCTGTCTAAAGTGTTATAGGCCCCACGTACGTATTAATGAATGTGATTGCAATTTCTTGGAGAAGTAATATTTTTGGTGGTTGGAGCTGCAATTCATAGGTAACAAAGAGAAAGATATTAGAAATGTTAGGGGCACACCCCAAGTCGCACCTCTAACCACACCTCCCCCTCTCGTTCGCTACAGTACTCCGGGTCCCACATGAGTTTTTAAAATTTAAAAACTCATGTGGGGCCCGGAGTACTGTAGCGAACGAGAGGGGAGGTGTGGTTAGAGGTGTGGTTTGGGGGGTGCCCCTAACACCACTCGAAAGATATATAGATAGGACATTTTCGGCTAATAATTACTTTTTAAAATCGTGTAAGTTACCTATTACTTATGTTGTTAGAGGGCAAACAAGTCGGTTAATAAGTAGAAAATTCCCAACCTATTTTTTAATGCTTGTAAGAAAAAGGATAAGGTAAATTTACCAAACATGTTGGCTGAAACATGCTTATAAATTAAAATAGATTTTTTTTTTTAAATTTGGTGTCCCAATGTTTATCCATATTTTCACATTGATACTCGAATTTATTTTTTAACACTTTGATATTCTAAGATTTCAATCTCATTTTCAATTTGATACCTCAAAACTAAATATTTCTTCGGCACTTTGATGTCCTAAAATCACAGTTCGCTTGATAATTCACCTAAATTTATATCACGTTTTTAGCATGTGATACACCTAAACCCCATTTTATCATGTTGCTAATCATGTGATGCAAAATTAACAAAAAGTCTAATGAGATCTAGGATAGATATCGAAGGGGAAATGACTCGTGAGACTAAAACTTTGTAAGGAAATATCTTGGGGCCGTCACAATGAGGTGAGATCCGAACCTCAAATTGTCAAAGGTGAAAATAAGCCCGTAAAACAAGTCCATATATATTTTTTGCACGTGGGAGATGTCAAGCGATACTGTAAATAATAATAATATAATATTTTCAGCCCGATGTGAGGTCCGCCGGTGGACGCGGTCTCCTAGGACCCTAACCACGTGATCGCGACTACGTGTCCGCGCATCTATGGCTCTTCCGTACCACCGCTGGGTGCGTCCTCGTACTAACCGGGCCCACCTTTCTAAGGCCGATGCCGAAGCGGTCCCGACTCGCCCATCGACCATTAACGTGGCGGCACGTCCGCACGCCATCTACTTTCTACTTGCGGTCTTGCGTGCCAGGACTCCGCAATCTTTGTAATTGCACATATGTTGTCGTCGCGAACGCAGGTTCCCCCTCTCTCGCTACAGTACTCCGGGTCCCACATGAGTTTTTAAAATTTAAAAACTCATGTGGGGCCCGGAGTACTGTAGCGAACGAGAGGGGAGGTGTGGTTAGAGGTGTGGTTTGGGGTGTGCCCCTAACACCACTCGAAAGATATATAGATAGGACATTTTCGGCTAATAATTACTTTTTAAAATCGTGTAAGTTACCTATTACTTATGTTGTTAGAGGGCAAACAAGTCGGTTAATAAGTAGAAAATTCCCAACCTATTTTTTAATGCTTGTAAGAAAAAGGATAAGGTAAATTTACCAAACATGTTGGCTGAAACATGCTTATAAATTAAAATAGATTTTTTTTTTTAAATTTGGTGTCCCAATGTTTATCCATATTTTCACATTGATACTCGAATTTATTTTTTAACACTTTGATATTCTAAGATTTCAATCTCATTTTCAATTTGATACCTCAAAACTAAATATTTCTTCGGCACTTTGATGTCCTAAAATCACAGTTCGCTTGATAATTCACCTAAATTTATATCACGTTTTTAGCATGTGATACACCTAAACCCCATTTTATCATGTTGCTAATCATGTGATGCAAAATTAACAAAAAGTCTAATGAGATCTAGGATAGATATCGAAGGGGAAATGACTCGTGAGACTAAAACTTTGTAAGGAAATATCTTGGGGCCGTCACAATGAGGTGAGATCCGAACCTCAAATTGTCAAAGGTGAAAATAAGCCCGTAAAACAAGTCCATATATATTTTTTGCACGTGGGAGATGTCAAGCGATACTGTAAATAATAATAATATAATATTTTCAGCCCGATGTGAGGTCCGCCGGTGGACGCGGTCTCCTAGGACCCTAACCACGTGATCGCGACTACGTGTCCGCGCATCTATGGCTCTTCCGTACCACCGCTGGGTGCGTCCTCGTACTAACCGGGCCCACCTTTCTAAGGCCGATGCCGAAGCGGTCCCGACTCGCCCATCGACCATTAACGTGGCGGCACGTCCGCACGCCATCTACTTTCTACTTGCGGTCTTGCGTGCCAGGACTCCGCAATCTTTGTAATTGCACATATGTTGTCGTCGCGAACGCAGGTTTTCTTTTGGGAGAAAATGTCACAAATTCAACTTATCAGCAGCCTTTTGATTGCAAATGTAGTAAATAAACGAAGTACACGTTCCATACTTTATCCTTTTTAAATTATATCACTAGTTCAAAATGGAAAGAAAAATCAATAGATATTGGCTACTTCAAAATCTATTTAAAATTAATGTTATTCAACTACTCCTCTTATTTGAGACTAATTTTGTTCCTTTCTTTTATTCCGAGGATAGTAATGTCACGAGTTAAAATTTAACTCTGCATTTATGTAGAAAAAATAGATAATTATCTATAGTGTAGTAGTTAGATTGCAACCTCATTGATTATTGCACATTCTGTCTATCTGTCCATCACCAAATTGATTGCATTGTAAATTCTCTAATCAAAGACAATCTAGCTAGATAAGAAGAAAACAATAAGAGATACAAGTACATGTTATATAACAACCAAGACAACTCTAAAAACTGAAGACAAAAAAAAAAAGAAGCGGGAATAGTCCATAATATAAGAATTGCACAAGGAGCCACGCGCAAATTAAAAAAGCCATTCTCATAACTGCTTTTGCTGAGGGGCCAAGGATGCCCAATATGGAAAGAGCCATGTTCAGCTTTTACCAAAAAGATCACAGAGATTTTTTTTCTTTTAGGTAAATCCAACCTCTTGGATTCTGTTTTTATGTTTTTTCTTTTTTGCCATTTGTGGAGTTTGTTTCTTATTTATCTTGACCTGTCGGTGTTTTCCTCTTCTCAATTATTCTCCTTCTTCCTCTTCTTTATAATCCCCGTCTCTCTCTAGAGAGAGAAAGAGAACAAATAAGAATAAGTTTGGAGAGAGAGAGAGAGCTATGGTGAGGGGGAAGACTGAGCTGAAGAGGATAGAGAATGAAACAAGCAGACAAGTGACCTTCTCCAAGAGAAGGAATGGGCTTTTGAAGAAAGCCTTCGAGCTCTCAGTTCTCTGTGACGCTGAGGTGGCACTTATAGTTTTCTCTCCAAGGGGAAAGCTCTATGAGTTCTCTAGCTCCAGGTACTTTTGATTTCTTTTGTTTGTTTTGTATATGGGGTTTGATCTACACTCTTTTTAGATATTATGTCTTTTTTTTTATTGTCAACGAATTGAAAAGGACTTCATGAAAGTCATTGAATTGGTGATACAATTAGTCATGTATATTGAAATTTGTATTAGTATATAGGAGAACAAATTCCTGGCAGAAATTGCAGTTAATTTAATTGGAACGTACCTTGAAATAAATTTAAAGAAGAAAATTTAGGAATCAAAAGATAAGTTAGATAATTTTCATCAATTAATGAGATGATCAGTTACAGTATTAGAACAATTCATTTTATACTATAGCAACCAATGGAAACAACTGAAATTGATCCTTCTATTCTATAGTGAGAAAAGGAGGAGGAGGAAGAAGAAAGACATTGATCCTTGTGAAAAATCAATTTAGTGATATTTTTTTTTGGTCAATGAAATTTTTTATTCATTTACCAAATGGAAAATATTTATACATCAGATATTCAGTATATGAACTGAAAAAACAATCACGAAATCATTTGAAAAAGAGCAAAACTAAAACCAGCTAAGTATATACAATGGTTTATAGTGATATAAGCCATTCTTTTTTTTTCACTGGATATGAACCATTTAATATGATTGTCATGATATCAATCTTGATCTCCTTGATAATCTGCTCAACACTCTTGGATTTCATATTGAAGAGTCTGTTGTTGCGTTCTTTCCACAACCTGTAGATAGTAGAAGAGAATGCCATTCTTTTCACTTTTTGCTTAAAACCTCTTCCTCTCAACCTGTAATTAAACCAATCCAGCAAGCGATTCCAGTCACAAGTCTTCCAATCGAATTGAAGCCAGTTCATGATCTCATTCCAGACTGGATTCGTGAAGCTACATTCAAAAAAGAGATGATTTCGGGATTCTATAACAGTTTCATTGCATAAACAACAGAGGCCAGTGATGATGATTCCTCTTTTGAGCAATCGATCTCTTGTAAGAAGCCTGTTTTGCACTGCTAGCCACAGAATAAAACAGTGCTTTGGGTAGCTCAAATTATCCCATACTGTTGTGAACCATGGGACCTTAGTAGTTACTGGGGAAATTTTTGAATAAAGCTCAGACAAGCACACTTTTGAGTTTCTATGACAGGAGCTGATAATTTGCTTCAAAGCATCTACACTTCCACAACTTGCAATAGCTTTATCTCTGACTTTGAGCAGCTGTTTCCACAATTTAGTGATACTTGTCGATTGGTGATGGGTGCCAAAAATTATTCGTATCCTCGGGTGTATTCGTACCCGCTAGGATATGAATATAGTTACAAAATCTATAACCGATAAGATATGAATGCGGATATGATTATGTAATGAAATATTCGGATGAAATATCTGGATCCGTATCCGAAATGTCCAAATATATGTTGATCATATAGTTGCAAGTATTTTAGTACTTAGATTAATGGATCTGATACTTATTTTAATGTTTAAAAGATATAATCTTTGTTTTTCATATATAACAGGCAGATTAATGCGCTCTCTTGTATTATACAAACTATAGTTTTTCAATATTATTTGGTTTTCTCATATTCGTTTTGTATATGTGTACATATCCGCATGTATATTTGTATTCATATTCAAGTTTTACCAGATATGAATATGAATTTTCCTTACCGAAACATATCAGTATCCATATCTGTGATTGACAAACAGATACAAATATGATAAGTATTATATCCAAGGCACATCCGGTCCACCAACACCCCGAATTGGTGATGTATCATGTATAGAGTGGTTGGTACTCTGTGCTTGAGTTTTATGTTTATCTTATTCTTTTCCGTGTCAGCCACATTAAAAACAAATAATAATTAATGAGAATGTAATAGGCTTTAATTTTAGTATAACTTCAACCATACATTGTTGATGAAATCATGTTTCATGTATGAGGCAACATTAACCTCGAGCTTGTCGTGAAATTTAGAGACAACATACATTAAAAAAGGTGCCTTTTTAAGATGATGTATAAAGAAATATAGAGCTACGCGATTAACTATCTTAGAGCATCTGATAATGTTTTAAACATGATCAATATGGTTGTGCAACTAAGGCATCTCTTGATGCACAAGGTAAGGCTATTCAAAGGGATTATCACCCATTCATCATGATGTACACATCTTATGTGTGTGTCTATATATATATATGTACACACACACATGTGAAAATCTTGATGCGTTTAAGAGTACTAATCCATGTTTCAAGTTGCCCTTTTAGTTGTATTATTATAAAACTATTGATTTTTATATTCACTTAAATGCATGAGTAGATAAAACTTAGTATGTCTTATTTTTTGTTTGTAGACCATTCAAAACATGTAGATACAAATTATTGGAGAGGATTGTTCAAATTGATGTGCATGTGTTGTGGGCGAATGCGTGTTTAGACCTACATGTTAGAGGTAATCTAAGGAGCTGAAAATAGCCCATATGATCCATTGTAGAGGTAACCTATGGAAAATCCATGTTAATTTACAAAAAGTATTACAAATTACTGATCGCATGCCTCCGTTAAGCAACCAGAAAAGTTTAGTACAAATCTTTTATAGTTTTATATGTAGATTTTGGTCACGTTAGAGGAGGAGAATTTCTACATGGTAGAAGTAACTAAGGAAATCCACTCGTTTACCGATGTATTACTAAATACAGGGTCATGCAAAACGATCATCATGTTGTATATGTGAAAAATGCTAGTGTAAATATGTTAGGAATTTAACGCCTAAACCCCTAATTGCAACGGAAACGCAGTATAGAGAACAGTACACCAAGTTTAACGAGGTTCGGCAACTGCATACGTCCTCGGGAGCCACACAGATAATTTCTTATTAATTAAACAAGAAATTACAAATTTAGGAGCAGATCCCTAAACTGGGATTTCTCAAATAAACACTGTAACAACAGTGTTAATAGTCAAAGGGTATGAACCCTGTCAATTCTCAACTGAGAATAAATACCCCCTCTTGATTCCCTCTCTCTCTTATTAAATCCCTCTCTCTCTCTTAATATTTCTTTTAATCTCCCCTCAAAATCCCGAAGCTCTGAGCGCTGGAGAAAATCGCCTCTGCGATTTTTAGGGCAGGTCGCCGCCGCCACCAAGAGAAGAAATCGGAGGAGAGGGGGAGAAGCAAGCACCTTCGAAACCCTAGGGAGAGGGTTTATATAGGCGGAGATGAGAGAGCTGGCGACAGCCTGTCGCCAGCGATTAACCCTGACGCAAAGGTCGGGTTCGCCCAAAAAGCAAACGCAGAGGTCGGGGGGCAGGCGAACGCAGAGCTCGCCATCGACGCAGAGCTCGCCATCGACGCCCGCTTCGAATGAACGCAGAGCTCGCCATCGACGCCAGCTTCGAACGAACGCAGAGCTCGAGGCTTCGAGCTCGTCCTGTCGCCTGGACCTCGCCGCCTGGACCTCGCCGCCGCCATCCTGGAGCTCGTCGGAGCTCCTCCGCCGCCGGAGGTTGGTATCCACCCCCAACCTAACAAAATATTCTTAATTATTAAATTTTTACTGATAGTGAGAACACAAGACATCTCATTACTGATTATAGCTCTAGAAGAAAGATTGTCTTGCTACTTCCATAAATTAATTAGTTACACAAGATTCATATATTTTGTTATTACTTGAGGCCCTAGAGGTTAAGATGGACATTAAAGATTTGTCATTTGACATAGCTATCTCATTTTTTCCCTTTTTCTTTTTAATTCTTTGAACTTTATTGATTGGTTTAACTATTTAATACATCTTTTCATGTGTTACAATGAAATTTTTTATAATGAAAATTTTCATATCGACTTAACCACCTCCATTTAGATCAAAATTGTGTCATGATATTCTGGTCATCCAACTCTTCAAGCAAAAGTATTACTCAACATAGTGCAATATAATGAGCAGAAAATTTCTGATAGTTCTCATTTTTAGTTAAAAGAGACCTTAAATATGCTGCACTAGTGTGCTTTCTATTCACTGGAATCTACTGGGGTTTTCCGTGTTTGAGTGCACAATTTTAAGCAAAACTAAAGGTGTATTTGGCAATTACCCTAAAATTGGGTTAGGCCTAGCACTAGTCATGTTTTAAACAAAATCAATTTTGTTTGGACTGAGGGGAAGGTGGTCCAAAATAATATCAGTTTAAATGTTAAAATTGGCCATAGAAAAACTAGGCCAGACTTAGCCTAGTTTTATCCAAATAGAATTTTGCCCAAAATGAGATCAGGTTGGAACGTCACCCCATTTTGAGAAGGTACCGAACACACCCTAGTACTTCTATATGTTTCCTTTAAATTTATATGTATGATTCCTTTTCCCAAAATTAAAGTATACAATATTGGCTAATGTTTTTTTTCTTCTTCTTGTTTTAGCACGCAAAAGACAATTGATCGATACATTGCACATATGAGTGATGCCACCAAGAGGGCAAGTGAAGGCAATCTACAGGTTGAAACTACTAGCACACGTTATATTTCAAGCAGTACTTTAGCGCGAATCAAATGCCATTAATTTTCAACGTTTCTATGTAATTCTAAGATTGCCTAAATATCTCAAATCTGTAGGAACTGAAGCATGAAGCTGTGAATATCGTGAAGAAGATAGAGCTGGTTGAAGACCATAAGAGGTGAGACTGATGGATGTTGGCATAATGATAATCTAGGGTTAATTGCAGATAGACCCCATGAAATATAGCTCAATTGTAGATAGACCATGTCTAGTTCTAGTGTTGCATGTGTACGCAAAGAATTCCTACATCCACTCTTTCTTCTCTGGAAGGGGCTTTCACGCTATATGATATTGTTCTCCTGGATTACAAACTCTAATCCAATAGGCTTTACAAGACCATAATCTGTATAACCCTAATCTGGTTGTCTACACTAAAATGATCTATCATAAGTGTGTACCTTAGCTCTTGTTAGTAACCCTAACCCTCAATTATCACTGGCTTGAGTACGCCTTACAACCCGATCATACGATCGTAAAAACAAGTTTTGAAATAAACAATCAAAATACCAATTAAACACAAAATCAAAAAGATCTTACAACTCTTGAGAATCAAACCGTTCCCCAAAGGATTTGGATGGAGATGTGGAACAACATGATTATAAATCTGGTTCTAGGGCAACACTCATTAATGGTTGTATATCTGATGATGAACATGATGACGGAGCGATCAAACGAGCTTCAAGATGATTCGATATTTGACCTTCAAATGTAAACCCTAGTTCCTCACTCCCCCCCCTCCCTCTCTCTCCCCCACTCTTCCTCCCTCCCTCCCTCCCTCTCTCTTTGTATCTCTATTTGGTCTGGAAAAGTTATGTGAAACGAGATAGGAGATGAGGTATCTTAGAAACAATGAATTACTGAGATAGAATCCTAAAAATCTAAAAACGATGACTTAGTCATCAATTGTTGACTTGGGTCATTGATGACCACTCAATCATTGATGAGGAGTTGTCACGATGATTGAGAAACATCTGAATATTTCTATGATCGATATTTCGTGAGTCATCGATGAAAAATATTTATTTGTAAAATTGAATCAACAATGACCTTAACCTCTCATCGATGATCGATTGATCATCGATGATCGATGTTGGTCATTGATGAATCGTTTGCTGATAACTCCTTTTTGAGCTGAATTTTACTCCGTTTTGCTTCAAACTTGAACCTCACTTGTTCAAACCTGTACTAATCATCTCAAACAGAAATTAAACTTTTATGAATGTTTGTTATTACTTAAACAAAAAAAATTGAATGGACAACATGGTGACAATATCATTATGGACCCCTTGAGTGAAAACTTTTTGACTCTTTATTCTGAGGGTAAAAGAGTCAACAAAATTTCATTTAGGGGGTCTGTGTTGTCTATGTGCAACACTAGTCAATAGAACTATATGGGACCTATTTTGCAATTGGGCGATAGTGTGTGTGGGGTGGGGTATATCCGCAATTAACCCTATAATCGCTTATCTTTGCACTTATCCTAGGTTTAATGCAGGAAGCTCTTGGGTGAAAATTTGGATTCGTGCTCATTTGAAGAACTGCTTGAACTAGAGGGCCAGCTAGAGAAAAGCCTAAGCAATATAAGAGGAAGAAAGGTACATATCGAAAGAAATTAATATTGCATTTTTCGTCAAGGGGGTTAATCAGTAAATGAGATCTGCCTATTTTCTCAAAATCGGTCCTTTTTGCGATCAATGTTTATCAACGGTTATCAGAGTCGTGCTTACGTTAACAAATGTATCTTCTTTTTAATTCAGACCCAGTTGCTATCAGGGCAAATTGCACGACTACAAGAAAAGGTGAAAATTTTTGCTCTCTCTCTCTCTCTCTCTCTTTTTGTCTGTCTTCGAGTAAAGGTTAAGGATCAATTCTTAAGCAAAATACATGGTTAAGGAACAAAATAGTGTGTATATATATGTTTGATCTCTATTCATCAATACTGAACTTCTTTTACCCCCTTTTCTTGAGAGCAGGAAAAGGTTTTAATGCAGGAGAATGCATCATTACGGGAGAAGGTAGGGATGAACATGCATAACTATGAACTTTATTATTAATTAATCCATTTTTTTCGTATATAGCTTATCAAATGAATGTGATATTTTTCTCAATGAAGTGCAAGGTACAAACCCGCCAGCTTCAATTAGATTCATCCCCGAGTGAAGTTGTACATAGCGACTCTACTAGTACCGATATGGAGGTGGAGACCGAGCTGATTATAGGAAGGCCAGGGACGAGAAGAACACAAAAAACCCTAAGCAATTGAGTGACGGTATATATATGGTCTTGATTAATGATACACATCTGTGAATCAAAAGCTTGAATATAACGTATACAGGCCTTTGGAAGTATTATTTTGTAGAGAAATTGTGAGTTTAATGCCATGTCACGAAAATGATTAATAATAGTAATTAATAATGATAACAAGTGATCTTGAGCTATGGCTGCTTCATGTTGAAAAACATCAAAATTGAAAGGGCATTCCAGTATATCCTGTATTTATAGAAATTGTATATTCTGGCTCAGTTGGTTAACGTAAGAACTTTATTTCATAATTAGTTCCTTGTTAATTTATTGGGTTCAGGCCGGGATGAGGATACGAGGTAAATGAACAGGCTACGCCTTTTGCTGAAATTGAGAATGTTACTGATCGAGCTATAAAATCTGAGGTGGCTACATTAGATGTTTACCTTTTGAGTACTGACTTCTAAGCTATAAATCTAATTAACTATTGCTGAAATTGAGAAAGTTACTGATAAGGATCAATATTTGTTTCGTCTCTTTGGAGCAACGTACATCTCATAAAATTGTAAGGATATATATAGAGAACATTATCAGGACTCTTGCTACGCATAGAGTCTTCAGATAAAAGTTATTTCTTTATTTATTTGAAGACTAATGATGATTATATTATTCTTTCTTACGTTATTTCTACACTAAAAAGAGAAAAATGAGAGTTTCCTTAATGAGCCATATCAATTAAAAAAAAAATTAAAGAGACTACACCGAAACATCTACAGCCCCCCTGTACATCATGATGAGCTAAGGTCGCGCACACCGAAAGGCTACTAGTTTGTCTTTAATTTCTAGCTTTTTCTTTTTCTGATAGATTCTTTTCTACGCTCAATATAGCTTGTGAGTCACATAGAAGTTTACAGCATGCATCTTTACTTCTGTAAAATCTTAATACGTACTTCTGTACTATTACTTAAATTCACCGATGACAAGGTATACTCCCATTGTAATGTACTCATGGGTACAGTTTGGTAATCTCGTTGCTCCTTTGTATGGTTCAGAACACCCCCACCACATGTGGTGGGGGGTTCTGATAGAAAGTTTACTCGTGGTAGTGGGGGAGAGTCGTAAAAAAAGAGATTAAAACTTTGCGCTGCTATTTGAGAAACTTCGGAGGTTGGGGAATTTTCAGGGGGAAAGCAAGGGGTTTAGTGGGAAAAAACAAACTTCAAAAGGCCGTTTTGGTTGGAAATGCTCGAATTTTTTTTTTAATGCAATGTACACTTTCTAGAGTGTGTATGTCACATCTATTCGATTAAATGCGTTTGGGCCGTTTGGCATGGAAAAGACATTGGGTAGAATTTAGTTCCACATTAGATAGAGAGCATGATAGATTGTTAAATATGCTCATACTCATTAGTCAAAGAAGGTTAATTTTACCTAGTCGATTGGATTCAATTAGATTAGCCTAATCTATTTTCTTAATAGGACTTTCCAACCCAAGATGATTGGTATCGGAACTTACGGTTTGATGAGCTTTTCTTGGATGTCCTGTTTGGTCCCAGATTTATGTTGCATGAGTTAGAGCTTAAGGTAAAGTACGTGCACATGAGGTTATATTATAATTCCCTCTAATGTGACTTGGTCCAGCACGTGTTAAGGCTCCCTTGATGCATGTCTTATCACACGCTTGGCGGATTGTGCTGAGTCTGTTCGTCTTTGAAGTTGTTGGACATCATCTCCATTAGACAATATTGTTTTAGGCTTAAGTTGGCCATTTGTTAATTTTGAGATCTAGTTGGACTCTACTAGATCCGAGCTAAGGCAAAAATTTGTAGAGTTTGCATCCCCTGTCTATTTAATTTATTTATCAGGATCTGGTTTGGAAAGACATGGGGTGGGATTTAGTCCAGCTTCGAATAGAGAGTAAGATGGATAAATGATTAAAATTAAAATGCTTTGGCTGATGATCCAAATAGAATTAATTCTTTAAATCAGTTGGGTTCAAGTAAATTGGTCTAGTCTATCTTTTTAATGGGCCAATTCCAACCTAACACCCTATAAATAATAATTGTAACTTTGATACCCTTAAATAATTGCTGTTGTGGCTTATGAAGGTACAAGGACATATCATAAATAATTAGTGTAAGTCTAGATGCGACCATAAAATAGAAAGCTCGACTTAAAGGGGCATCTTATATAATATAGAATTACAATCCTCGTTTCTCATCTTAATATTTTGACGTTTTGACACACCCATCTAATTAATCAACTTACATGGGAATTGAAGTAGGAAGCTTCCCCCTTGAGCCCCATTGTACTATGTGCTTGTTCTAATCTACACATCTATTCCTCTATAATAATGAGAGGATTCAAGATTTACTATTCATACTACAGTAAATGCTACAGCAAAATACTGTAGCATTAATGTTACTGCAGCACAGATATATATGAAGGATCCAAGATTCACCATGCATGCAACAATAAATTACTGTAGCATTATTACTGTAACACAGGCGATAACTGCAGCGTTAAAAAATATTACTATAGTATTATTACTATAGTTTAGGCGGGATACCGTAGCATTTAAAAAATATTACTGTAGCACTTACAAAAGCTGTATTTAAATACAGAATTAATGTAGTGGAAAGTCAAAAAAATGGAGGCCGTGTTTTGCTCGTGGTGCACACTAGTCTATACTTAGAGGAGAACCCAAAAATATATTGTTCATGCTACAGTAATGCTACGTTGGATACTGTAGCATGAACAGTAGATCAATATGATTCTATGCATTTCAAGTTATTGTTTATACTACAGTGTGTACTATAGCAAAAACAATAACTCAAATATGCTTCTCCATACTCGAAGTTACTTATCATGCTATAATAATTTACTATATTATAAACAGTAAGGCAAATCAAATGTATTAAAACTTGTATCCTTTTTTAAGTATAGAAGAATATATATGATTTTTAATTTTAAATAAACAATAATTAAATTAAATATATTAAAATTTCTAGAATTTTTTTTTTTAAAATGTAGTGCTAAAAAAATGGGGAGCGCTTACACGGGTTGCAATTAACTAGTACGAGGAACATGAGAAGGGAGCAAGCTACTCATGACTGCATATATTTTGGAAAAATCAATAATTGAGATCCTGTGATAGTCAACAAAAAGAGAGGCCATATGTTGCTTGACCTAAGCAGTCAGATGCCTTTCTTGTTGATTGACTCGTGAAAGGGAGGCTGTCACCCAGAATCACGTGCTTCCTCGTACGTCCACTTTAACTTTTAGTGGCTTCTGCGTCCCTATCCACGGGGCTTCCTTTTTTATTTGCCCCTTTATTTATTAATATCATCAATATATATATATGGATTTAGAGAAACAGTACCAAGTAATCCGTCTGGTCCAATTTTTATATGTTGCGTTTAAAGGGCCCTTTATTATGGAGCCTAGCAAGGCCCACAATTCCCCCCTGTAGCTTGCTTTAAGATTGTAGGGGTTAAAAGAGCAAAAGCTATAGAGGTTTAATCTTGACTATATTGGATCACACCGAACACGTACACCTTCTTTCA